GGCCCTGGGGCAGCAAATACTGACACTGCCAGGGCCCAGGTTCCAAGAGTGCCCATGCTGGGGGCTACTCCTATCCTAAGGAGAGTCCTGATTGTGTTCCCAGGGCAACTTTGTGTGTACGTCATTTCTGCAGGGTAGTTCCACTCAGATGCAGCCCTCAGCTCCAGGGAGGTGGCTGGCATTGCTCCATGCACCAGCTGGGTTGACTGAGGTGTAACCCACTGGTGAGTGTGTGTGGCAGGTGCCCCTCCGTGCCTGATCCACCAAGGGCATGAGGCTTTTGCACCCGCAGCTAGGGAACCTGGGCGGTTTAGTTCTGCAGGGCCCCGATTCAATCCCTGGTGTCACAGCCTAGAAGGCAGCCTCCATACATGCACCAGAAGTGACGCTGCTTAGGGGCACGCAGGGAAATCGAGGGACTTTGTCAAGGTTCCACCAGGCTGGGAATGGCTTTGCCGAGGTCACATAAGGAGTCAGTCGCATGGCCAGGGCTAGAAGCCAGGCTCTTCAGTCCTTAACTCTGACCCACTAGACTACCAAGCTCCCTCCCACTGATGATTAAGGGGTGTCTAGACTGCAGTCGCCGGGCGTGACTGCAGCTCGGGCTGATGCACCTGAATGAGTTTTACTCTAGCTTTCTGGGGTGTGGGTTTGGATTTCAGACACTCAGCTCTCCCAGTGGCAGAAATCAGACATCACTGTGACATTTCCCCCCAAAAACTTGTTATGCTTATAAGAAGCACACAGGATCTTTTTCAGGGGGAAAGGCAATAGGCTGCGTTTACTGAAGATAGAACAATTAGCATTCAATCACACCACACACACATTGTCCCGCGAGTTGATGTTATAGTTACCAGTTTAGAGTCCGGATCAACCTAGTGGCCAGCTAGGTTGATCACCGGTAGGGAGGAGCTGGGTCCCGTCAGTTGTGACACGATGCTTGGGGGAAGCTTTGGTAGGACGAACCTAAAGTTTCATGGCAAGGCCCCATGTTTATATAGTGATTTTCCTTGCTTGGGACCAATGAGTTTTGCACCGTTATGCTGTTATTAATTGTTGTTTGACAAGTGCTTGTTTTCTTAAATTGTCCTTCTCATCCTTTATCTTGTTTTTTCATCAAGTCTCTCAGAGAGTTATCCCAAGCTGGTTTTGATCACAGCTATCTTGTTGCCATTGATAGGTGCCTGTCTCATCTTTAGAGTCGTCAATCTGCCCTCCTCTGACATTTCAATAGGGGCGTGATGCAGCCTCCTGGCGCCCTTGCATCTGTTTCTGGTTCCTCCCTTGTACATCTGGTTCACCGATGACCTTCACACTTACCTCTTTACACCCACATTCCTCATTTACACACAAAACAGAATTAATTTACACAGAACATTTTGAACAGGAACATCAAGTTGCAATTTACAAGAAAACAATCATGGCGTTCTTTTACATATTTTAAAATGCTAAACCTACAACGAAATAGTGACCTTAAAATGTCTGTTACTGCCTTGAACTCAGCCCAGACACAGAATCCAGCTGATGCATCTTTACCAAATGGCCCATTAGGCCATTTCTTTCTGCTATTCAAAAAGGGTGGCTGGCAGGATATGATGAAATCATACACCAATACATTTAATATATGCTACATTATTATTTTATTATTTTTCACTTTTTATTTTAAATGATATAAAATGCAAACATAAAATCCTACTACTACAAACTGGCCACTGGCCCTTTCTGGCTTTCGTCCCAACCTGGAATCAGGGGCATGTTAGTCTCTGAACCGAGCTCCCCCAGAAATCCCAGCGGGGTGGGGGATTTCTTTAGAGCCATCTCTACAAGGAACTGAACTAGGCTCCTGGAACAACCACTAACCTGGAGGAGAAAATAGCATTCTAGTGCATTCCCAAGCCAGCCATCCTCCCCCTGCTGGGATCGACCGCACTATCTGATGATCAGTTGAGCCTATTCCCAAAATGTGTCCCATAAGCTTTTCTTCCCTTCCTATCCAGGCATCATTAAAAGCTACACCAGAGGCAGATCAGAGGTAGTGGGGGGAAAAGAAAAGAAACACAAGCCTCTCTGGATTTAGCAGAAGGCCGAATACATAACTCCCTGTGTTTAATCTCCCCTTTCAATTCCCTTTTATATTCTCGATGACAGAGAGACGCACTTATTAAAGATTTTTAACAGCTAGCCAGAGGCTCCGGCTGCTCACACATAATTTCTACCCATTGAATGCGCGTGAGTTTATTTTTATGTCTTTCAGAGAAAAAAGGAAGGAAAAGAGGGGGAGGGGGAGAAGCCATCACCTTCTCAAATTGACTTGCTTAGACTTTCTGGAGCGATGATAAAAAAGAAGAACAGGGGAGAGAAGGGCAGCCCTTTGAAGCACTGAAATATGGTAATAAGGAGACGGGCAAATACGAGACGATCATTAGCTGTTATTGTCTCACAGCACAGCATGCTGCAAACATCTTTCCCCTCCCCGCCGGCCAGTGGGGCCATTGCCTACACTGGTGGAAATCAGCATCACGCCATTAACTTTGATGGCGCTACGCAGATTGACACCAACTGAGGTGCTGGCTGTGTGCGTGTGTGTGTTCGTTTGTGTTAATAAAGCCTCAGCGAGACCATTTGGGATTGAACGGCGCTGCCCTTTTTTCATGCAGGGAGCATGGCCTAGTGGTTACAGCAGCAGCCTGGACACCAAGACTCCAGGGTGCTCATCCCCACGCTGCTCTAGTGACTCACAGGGTGACCATGGACAAGTCACTTTGCCTCTTTGTGCTCCAGTTTCCTCATCTCTTTTAATCCCGGGCTAGTAAAATTGGTCTTCCTCATCCTGAGAGTCTGAACTGAGATTTACCAAGACTCTTGGCCTAAAAGGGCTAGGCCAAGGCAATGAGCTATTGCCTGGGGCGGGTCAAAGCAGGGGTGGCTCATCCTTGCAAGCTCAGGTTTGCAAGCCTTTTCCCCTGTGTCCTAAGCCCCTGGGAGTATGGGGGCGTTGGGGCTGAGCCAGCTGATGGCAGGTGGAGGGGCTGTTAAAAATTTGCATCTTCTCTGTAGCCTGAATTTGTCCAGCTTCCCCTTAGATCTTGTTGTACCTCTGTCTGCTGGATTGGAGGGCTCGCGATTATCCAATTCCCGTTCTCCACATAGGTACTTATAGACTGGGCTCAAGTCAGATCTTATCCTTCTCTCTGTTAAGCTCAACAGATTGAGCTCTTTGAGTCTCTCACGGTCAGGCCTGTTTTCCAAGCCTTTAAACCTTCTCCTGGCCCTAGAAGCTCAGTGTATTTTCTTTCTCTTTCTTCCCTTCGCTGCTTCTGTTTCCATCTGGGTGGGAGGGGGTCCCCTCTGCATCTACCAGGGCAGTACAGCGATATCCAGTCTTCACTCTTATTTTAAAGCCCAAACGCCCCCGATCTCTTAGCCTCTCTGGGTTGTTTCTGGAGCTGACGCCCTGTTCCCTACTTACCCAGAGCTGAATCACGCCGAGGCATCGGCTTGGTACGACCCACGCCAAACCAAGGGCCCCTTTCCATAGCCAGCAGCTACCCAAGGCAAGTCTCCCTTGCACAATGTGCTGAGTGGGCTTTAACCAAAGCACCTTGGGGGTCCGATTCCCCAGCCCCCTCCCTGGCAGAAATCCAAGGGACTCTCAGCGGGGCAAGCTCAGAGGCGGCAGGCGAGCGTGGCACTGGGCAGATCACACAGGGCGCCACCATCCCCTGATTGCACCTGTGACTCAGTTTGGCCTGGCCTGCTGCCCAAGCTCTTGCACGTTCTGGGGCTGGGAGCACAAGAGCTTTCGGAAGAGAGAGAGAGAGCTTCGTTTTCCAGGAGGCTTGTTATTTTTAATGACTATTTAAACCTTAGGATTCTTTCGCCACTCGCTCACGCGGCAACACCAGCTACAGCATGAGAGGCAGCAGCCAGAGCTGCCACCAAGCCCCTTCACATGCTTCGCCGTGATCACCACAGGCCGCTGCGTAACATGGCCCATATTTCCCTGCCCCCATCCAGCAGGCTCCTCGCTAATGCTACCAAGGCAGGGATGGGATGGGATGGGATGGGGGGAGGGAGGGGCATGCCATGTCTGAGCAGCGATTTCATCAATAAAGCCTGGTTCTCTCTCTCAAGAACACTACACAGGGATTGCTCAGAGGCGGGGGGAAAATATCATGAGTACCTCTGATTAGACTGAGAAAGAAACCCACAGGGGGGGTTGAGGCTCAGCTGGTGCGATGCATGAGCTGTGCAGTCCAGGGATCAGACTTGGCCAAATGAAAGCGAGTTCGGGGCTTGCGCATCTTCGTCCCGAGTGGGCATTTGCCTGCATAACAAGTGCCTCAGCCAACGTGAGTGGCTGGGTTGCTATGACTGGGTCTCTCTCAGCAGGAGGTGTCTGGAGTGCTTTAGCAGAGCTGTGTGGGATGCCAAGGGCTGGAGTCGCAGCGGGTGCTGCAGGACGGGACCGAGGTGCCCTGGCAGAGCTGGGGTTGGAGGATCCCAAGGCTGGAATAGCAGCGGGTGCTGCAGGACGGGACCGAGGTGCCCTGGCAGAGCTGGGGTTGGAGGATCCCAAGGCCTGAATAGCAGTGGGTGCTGCAGGACGGGACCGAGGTGCCCTGGCAGAGCTGGGGTTGGAGGATCCCAAGGCTGGAATAGCAGTGGGTGCTGCAGGACGGGACCGAGGTGCCCTGGCAGAGCTAGCTGAGTGAGGCAGGACTGGAACAACAGAGATCACTAATATGAACCAAGTGCAATAGTCTGGAAAGCAATGATTCATGACTGAAACTGGCGGGTGCAGCCAAAGCCCAGAGACGCTGATCCCAGGGGCCAGTGGCAACTGGAGGAGTAGGTGCTTAAACTTCCGCCAAAATGTACCTCTGATACTCCCCTGGTGGAAAAAAATGGCATTTTCCCTTCAATATTAAACCCTTCCCTATTCTAACTACTTCATTTCCAGCTTCCTAATCATTTTCTTCACCCTTTCCCCCAAACAGCTTCTCAGATAACACCACTCTGCGATCCTTACTGGTTGTACCTACGCCAAAATCTGGAAACAGCACTGGACTGGAACTCAGGAAACCTGGGTGAATTCACAGCTCTGCCCCTGCCTGCTGGGTGACCTTAGGTAAGTCATTTCCCTGCCTTGTGCCTCAGTTTCCCCCATCTGTAAAATGGGGATAATGATACTGACCTGTTCTGTAAAGTGCTTTCAGATCTACTGACAAAAGTGCTAGATAAGAGCAAGCTATTACATTCTTTGACCCCATTCCTTGATGGGGTTCCTGGCCTAGAGGATGTGGGAAGCAGTAGATATGGTCTATCTTGACTTTAGTAAGGCTTTTGACACAGACTCACGTGACCTCATAAACAAACTAGGGAAATGCGGTCTCGATGAAATTACTATAAGGTGGGTGCACAGCTGGTTGAAAGAACATACTCAAAGAGTAATCACCCATGGTTCGCTGTCAAACTGGGAGGGTGGATCTAGTGGGCCCCACAAGGATCAGTCCTGGGGCCGTACTGTTCAATATTTCTTGTAATGACTTGGCTAATAGAATGGACAGTGTGCTTATGAAATTTGTGGATAACACCAAGATGGGAGGGGTGGGTTGCCAGCACTTTGGAGGACAAGGATTAGAATTCAAAACGACCTTGACAAATGGGAGACTTGGTCTGAACTCGACAAGATGAAATTCAATAAAGACAAGTGCAAAGTACTACACCGAGGAAGGAAAAAATGAAATGCTACAAAATGGCTAGGAAAATCCTGCTGGAAAAGATCTGGGGGTTCTAGTGGATCACAAATCAACTTTGGGTCAACAATGTGATGACAGTTGTGAAAAAGGTTAATATTCTGGGGTATATTAACAGAAGTGTCCTATGGAAGACACGTCCCAGTCTATTCAGCTCTGGTGAGGTCTCAAATGAAGTACTGTGTCCAATTCTGGGTGCCACACCTAGATGTTGATAAATTAGAGAGAGTCCAGATTAGACAAACACCTGTCAGGGACGGTTTAGGTTTACTTGGTCCTGCCTAAGTGCAGGGGGTTGGACTTGATGACCTCTCGAGGTCCCTTCCAGCCCTGCATTTGTCTGATTCTATTATTATTATTTGAACTGTGGTAATGCCTAGAGACCACCAAGCCGGGATCAGGACCCTATTGTGCATCATAACAAAACGATGCTCCTTGCCCCAAAGAGTTTACAATCTAAGCACGAGATCATGAGACATCTTTGATTAATGGAATAAGCAGAGGTCATAGCGCTCCAGCTGGTGAACCCCTTGTCTGTGTTTTGTGATCATCGTGACAAGGGTGTGTTTTAAGGAGAGAATTAAAGGACTCAATCCTAATTGGTGCTGTCCTCATCACCATGGGATCTCAGCCCAATGAATGTTGCACACACCTGTGTGAGAACAGAATTTACCCTTGACTAGCAACATTGGCAATTGTTTAGTAACTAACTGCTCCTGTTTAGCCAGCAGAGGGCAGACAAGAAAATAAAACATTCCCTGGGGAATATTGTATAAAAACAACAGGAACTGTGTTTTCAAATTTCCCAGGGATCTTTTATTTTCGCTGCCTGGTCAGAATATTTGAAGGTAGCTCAAATTTTTGTATTCAAACTAAATCAGCAGCATCCTATTAAACCTCCCTCTCTGGACAGCTTTTCCTTGATAGACAGGAGACTACATCTTAATTGTTAAAAGAAAAGGAGGACTTGTGGCACCTTAGAGACTAACCAATTTATTTGAGCATGAGCTTTCATGAGCTACAGCTCACTTCATCGGATGCATACTGTGGAAAATACAGAAGATGTTTTTATACACACAAACCATGAAAAAATGGATGTTTATCACTACAAAAGGTTTTCTCTCCCCCCACCCTACTCTCCTGCTAGTAATAGCTTATCTGAAGTGATCACTCTCCTTACAATGTGTATGATAATCAAGGTGCCCCCCCCCCCCCAGTTCCTCTGACGTTCTTGTTAAACCCTGGATTTGTGCTGGAAATGGCCCAGCTTGATTCAGGGAAACAGAAATCTGGTGACACTGACAAGGGCTAAGGCTAGTGAGAACAGGGGCTAGGCATGTCCTCGCTCTCGACTCAGCTCAGCTGATGAGTCACACGCTGACCTACAGCATCCCCAGCTGTTCCATTCCTGAGACCCCACCCAGCTCTGCCAATGCACGATCTCATTCCCGAACTCCAGCCCTCTCTCCGCTCTACCCATCCTGGACATGCTCATGCGTCTCTGCAGAGCCAGTAATTCCAGTGCTCTGCAATAAAGATTCCTATGGTGCAGTCAGAACAAAATGGTATTTATATCTTGAGGCCCAATCTAGGATAACCAGGCTTGTGCCATTCGTAGCTGGAGCAGATCTGGGCCCGTATCTCAAGAAGAAAAAGCACCAGTACCTTACAAACTCTTTGGGGCAGGGGTTATTTTCTATTTGTACAGCCCCTGGCACAAAGTGGCCTCGATCCTGAGTGGGGCCTCTGGGTGTCACTGCAATATAAATAATGACAATGATACAAAATACCCCCTGTTGTTGTTATATATTATCAGCATCACCATTGCAGCTAGAGGTCACAACTGAGATCAAAGCTGCATTGTACTACGGGCTGTAAAAACACAGTGAGAGACAGTCCCTGCTTCAAGGCGTTTACAGTCTAAACAGACAAAGGGTGGGAGACAGGGAGGGTCGTTATCTCTATTTTACAAAGGGGAACTGTGGCAAGGAGGTTCAGGGTCTGATTCCCAACGAGCTCAGCTCCCACTGATTTAGGCACCAAATGTGATGGTCAGATTGTCAGAGTTTAACATTTTTTGACCCTAACTGCAGCTGTGGAGGCCTTTGGAAAACTGTAGCCCCTCATGAGTTGCCCCAGGTCAAACAGGAAGTCCGTTGGGTCGGGGATTGGAACTCAGTCACGTGTATGGTTAGAGGCGTGAGGCATTGACCCACTGACGGCGCCAGCCGCCTAATCACAGGTGCAGGGCCGTCCTTAGCCATAGGCGGAATAGGCAGCCGCGTAGGGCACCCCTCTGCCTAGGGCAGGGCTGCTGGGTCCTAGAGAGAGCCGAACGCAGCACAGTCTGATGGAGGAGCTTGGCGACTGGGCTCTCTGGGAAGGGGAGGGGTTAGGGGTGGGGGAAGGAGGCACTCACCTGTGAGTGTGACTCTCTCCCCCGGTGTGAGGTGAGGCAGGCTCAGCGGCTGCAGTATCCTTTGTTGCCCGCCCCCGATAATGTCCATTCTTCTCCCCCCCACTCCCCTCTGGCAGGGCTGGGTTGCATGGGGGGAAGCAGGGGGCTAACTGGCTGCGTGCTGAGGAATGAAAGTGAAAGTGACTCGCTTCCTCGGCGGCCCCCAGGATTGTTGCCAAGAAGGCCAATGGCATTTTGGGATGTATAAGTAGGGGCATAGCGAGCAGATCGAGGGACGTGATCGTTCCCCTCTATTCGACATTGGTGAGGCCTCATCTGGAGTACTGTGTCCAGTTTTGGGCCCCACACTACAAGAAGGATGTGGATAAATTGGAGAGAGTCCAGCGAAGGGCAACAAAAATGATTAGGGGTCTGGAACACATGAGTTATGAGGAGAGGCTGAGGGAGCTGGGATTGTTTAGCCTGCAGAAGAGAAGAATGAGGGGGATTTGATAGCTGCTTTCAACTACCTGAAAGGGGGTTCCAAAGAGGATGGCTCTAGACTGTTCTCAATGGTAGCAGATGACAGAACGAGGAGTAATGGTCTCAAGTTGCAGTGGGGGAGGTTTAGATTGGATATTAGGAAAAACTTTTTCACGAAGAGGGTGGTGAAACACTGGAATGCGTTACCTAGGGAGGTGGTAGAATCTCCTTCCTTAGAGGTTTTTAAGGTCAGGCTTGACAAAGCCCTGGCTGGGATGATTTAACTGGGAATTGGTCCTGCTTCGAGCAGGGGGTTGGACTAGATGACCTTCAGGGGTCCCTTCCAACCCTGATATTCTATGATTCTATGATTGGAATGGTCACACGCAACTGGCTGGGCCAGATAGCATGTGTGAGCAATCAGGATGGGAGTTGGGGTAGGGTGACCAGATGTCCCACTTTTATAGGGACAGTCCCAATTTTTGGGTCTTTTTCTTATATAGGCTCCTATTACCCCCCACCCCCGTGTCCTGATTTCTCACACTTGCTGTCTGGTCACCCTAGGTGGGGGTAATTGGTGCCTATATAAGACAAAGCCCCAAATATCGGGACTGGCCCTATAAAATCAGGGCATCTGGTCACCCTAGCAGGGCAGCGCGTCTCTCCCCCGGATTGGCAGCGATCCATCTCATCCAGGGGGAGCTGTGCAGGGCAGGATGAGCTGCTGTGGCTCCGTGGGTGCCCTGTCCCTGAGATCAGATGCTGTGCTAACTTCATCATGGCCCGTGGGGCTGGTGGTGGTGCCCAGTGACGTGTGATCGGACCTGAGGGTTTGCTGCTGCTGTTGCCACGCTGCACCCCAAGAGGTGGATTTGGGGGTCCTGCAGTTTTCCACCTATCTTCTCCTCTATTGCAGCTGTTGGACCAGCAGGCTGGGGGGTGAGTGAGCCAAGCATGAAAGCAGGACTGTGTTGCCATTTAGATTGTCATTTAACAACTTTGTTTGCCAAAAATCCTTGCTAACAATCCTGAATCCAATTTCAATCTTTTTTTTAAAAAAAAATCAATATCTTAGCCAAAAGCAGAAAATTAAGTTGTTGACAATTATTTGTGACAAGTTTGGTTCGGGGCAGGGAGTGGGCCAGTTTTCATCAGAGAAACAAACAATGTTGACTGGCTTTCCAATAGCCCTGTTACTGCTAAATAGAGCCCTCCAACAACTGGAATATGCCCATCTCCTGACTCGTGTATAGAATGACTGTATGTTGTACGAAGATTCTCTTGCTTTTTTTTCCCGTGAGTCACTTTAGCTTTTGCGAGCCCAGAGGTTGGACAGCCAATGTCTTACGTTTTCACAGTGTTTTGTCCAACTTTCATAAAGTAAATACACGGTTAATAGGAGTTAAAAAGGCCAAGGACATGTACTTGTGAAGAATCTGTGCAGCAGATCATGCTAGAGCTGTGAAAATGTCTGGTTTTGATGAACTTTAG